TAAGGCTATTTACCCCACCCCGTAGAGAGCTCGATGAGGAGGGCAGAGGGCGGGAGAGGATCGTACCAACCCAAAAAAGGAGAGGAATCGTACGGACTTGACCAAAATCCCCAACCAATGATGTGCCCTGCTCGGAACGCTGACCTGCGAAGTGTGAACGCGGCCTTACTTAACTCTGCGCACCTATCATTAATTGAAGCTTCTTCCAGTTCACAATGGTGAGATAACCTTGCGAAACGCGTTGTGCGTGGCTGATTACGCCAAGATGGAAATGGATGAACTACGCGCACGCATAGAAAAAGACGCTGAACAGATAGCCTCGTACTCTGCTGAAAATAAGAGGCTCAAGGTAGGTACTTTAAGCTTCATTCAGAATTTCTAACCACTTGGGATGAAGAAAAAGGGGTGGAGTACAATATTATCGAACAACTGCAGAGAGAATTGTTGTCTCTACGTGAACGTCTTTCGCGGTATGAAGTTCAAGACGAGGAAATCATCACGGCCGAAGAGAATTTGCGGCGAAGTGTCAAAGAGGAACGTTCTCGTGCTAGAAGACAGGATCAAAAGTTGAAAGTGGTGAGCTTCGTAATTAAATTTTCCGGACCTACAGAAGCGCCACAAAGATGTGCACTTAGACCTATTCGAATTTCAGATCCAAGATATTTGTGATGCTCCCTCACCTTCGTTCGCTCAGATAAGAAGCAAATTTTCAATGGGAGGCGAGACGCCTTCTTCGGCTGCGACATCACAACATGTAATGTATAGTAATTCGTTTTATTATTTTATTTCTGGAATACTTCTGTTTTTTTTCTATTTTGAAATATATTCTAGCGCGCCCTAGCTGCTTCAGTGAGCAATCAGGCCGCAAGTTCTTCACGACAACCGCGCTCACGCCAGGTTGAGCCAGGAACGCCAGCGTCTGGCCCGGGCTTCTTCAATCCCAAATATCACAGGAGGTGCGTGAACAGAACCATGAATTTTCCGGGAGTTTTCACTTCTTTTCTTGTCTTTAGATCGAAATCGGCTCCAAGGGTTCTTGATCACCAACCGACGAATCGCGTTCCAACCGGAGGGATCCTTCGTGCCAAAATTCCAAGCAATGCCAGACATGTGACGAAACCTGAGGTGACCATTAATACATTCTCAAAACAATGCAGCCAGGCCTTGTCCTATGCTAGGAAATTTCCAAAGGGAGTTATTTTTAGCTGCTGGAGGGGGGGGCATCGTAATTTGGCCTGAGAAATATTTGATAGTCTATTTTCCCTGTTTTACGCGCGATATTCGCAACGTTGGGAAATCCCATTCGGATAAGTTGTCGTATCTGCGCGTCGCTTTGAGGGAGATGTGCCTGGCCTTAAGTTTTCCGTGCGCGCTTCCGGTTATTGACTTTTCGCGGTTTTTCTCGTTTATGTTATAAGTTGGGAAAAGTCAGCAAGATGGTTAGTGGAATGGGGATGTGTGGGAGGGTTTGTACCAAAGAAGAAAACTTTTTGGAGGGCCGCATTGTGCAAAAACTTTCCCTGGCGACAGGATGTGCCATGATTGTAGCGTAGGACTTTTGGCAATGAAGGACGTGTTCGTCAGTCGTCATCAGCTGCCAAACTTCTATTTTTCTCAGAGGTTCTTCGTAAACTGAGTAAGTATCCTTCAGGCTCACCAGCTTCAAAAATCGAGCGACTATATTTTAACCCATCAAGAGGTAGATCGAGAAGGAAACATCAGCACAAGCGTCGTCAAGGTTTTATTTCAGTTTATCGTATTGTCACAACAGGAGTTGCTTTTTTGCACGATCGCTGTACTCACTTGCTTTAACCTCACACAATATCCACGATGAAATCGTCCTAACATTTTGAGCACCAAGACGTCAGTACGATGTCATTACACTTCACAATACCATCACTAAGCCCCACAACCGCTTCCCTAATCATGCATGCTTTGCACTTTTAGAAGGAACTCCGGATTCATGTGGAGTCAATAAAATCTCCAGAACGAGCTTCAGTCGACACTACGAATGCGGATACGTTCTCGAGTATCGAGTCAGAAGTCGTCTACGAACTATGAACGCAGTTTTTTGTTTTTGCACCAATGCACTTTTTGTGTGTGTGAACACATTTTTTTAGAAGGTGAGTGATTGTAAACCGGTGTTTTCGAGGCTTTTGGTAATGGTTAATATAAAACCGTGAAATGTGGGGTGTTTGGTACCTATGCTGGATGCACCAGGAGTTCAGCCGCGTTGTAGAGTAGTACGAAATGCGCAGATGACCTACATGACAGCTCACAATCGCCTAAATGCCCTGCTCAATTCAGTGTTTTTAAACTCGCATTGGGATCATCGCTATCAACCTGACTCTGGATTGTTTTGTTGTCGTATCGTTATCGTTGTTAAAAGCGCATTCATACTTTGCGTCAGCGTTTTGAAAACTAGGGAAGTATAGGTATCGATCTAGCGTTTTGACCATCCGCCAGCGTTTTATTTGTTTCTAGTTCTTGCTTGAGCGCAGTGTTTTCTTTCCAGAAAACTAGAAGAGAGATCTACTAGGGGGATTTGCATCAAAGGCAGTTGGCACGATAATTGGTACTCAGCCTAAATGCTAGCAGGGCGCTATATAGTGGGAAATGGCGAAAAAACGAAGTGAAACGGTCAAAAACTGCGAAGAAAAGCCTTCGTTCTTGAAAAGCAATTTCGGACGAGTTTCCCGTAGGCGTATTGCAATAACCGCTCCGGTAGGTACGGCTGCATGTATGTGCCCATATATCCATGCAGCACTGCAAGCCGCTTCATACCAATCCCTTCGTCTTATGTTTATGTCGTCTTATGTTTTACTTAGCAAATGAAGCAAAACGAGCATCTGGTAAGGTCGTCCATTTGTGGGCGGGCGGGCGTGGCGGCGTTTGGGTCGGTATGTTGTAGCTTGATAGGACCCTTATAAGGGTACCTCCCTAAGGGACCCTTATAAGGGTACCACCCTAAGGGACCCTTATAAGGGTACCACCCTAAGAAAAGCCGCTACGCAGCGTTTGCTCAGG